TCCATCCATCTCCAGGCATGTCGAGGAGAAAAACATGACGATCCAGTTACCCCTGCTGATGCAGTGGATAGCAAAGTAGAGGTGTTTGTGGATGCCAGTGCCATACACACGCTCCCTGCTGGGGCTGATTTCATCATGTGCTATTCTGTGGCTCAAGGTGAGTCTTCTGGCATTTGACTAAAACTTTTGATTTTTATTTGGGCTCAGAGGAAATATCAAAGACACTGAACTGAGTGTTTTTTTAATCATAGGGTAGATATGTGATGTTAGAATAATTGTATCCTCAAATATATCTAATAGTTTCTTCTGTTTAATATAATTAATAATAATATAAAGCTAAAATGTCTCCACTTGGCTACCAGTGACACATGATTACAGTGTCACAAACTGTCCAGCTAGTGTTATACACTGTTTGTGTATTTGTATTTATATGTCTAAGCTCATTTATCGGTGATCAGGAGCTGGACCAGTGCCTAAATAGGTTTATTTTTCTTAATAAAACAGTACAATTGAGCCACTATAAATCCTGGTGTAAAGCATTTAACATTTCATAGCTTTCTAAAAATCCATACTTCTTCCATTTGCATTTTATTCACCTTCCATATTAACTTTTCTTTTCAATATTTTTTAGGTTATTACTCACACCGGGAGACTATCAATGGCTCCTGGTATATCCAAGATCTGTGTGAATTGCTCCAAAAGCTTGGTGATACCCTGGAATTCACAGAGTTACTCACGCTGGTCAATAGAAAAGTGTCCATGAGGAGTGTTCTGAGAGCTCGTGACCTACACGCTATCGGGAAGAAGCAAGTACCTTGTTTTGCTTCAATGCTCACCAAGAAACTTTACTTCCGACCAAAAAAGTAACACTGTCACACCTCAGTCTTTCAATAAGGGGGTTTATGTGGGTTTTTTTTTTTTAACTAGATAGGGCTTCTAAACAGGAATTTACACTTGGCACCAGATTAGGACTAAATGTATATAATTTTCTGCATCACCATCTGAATATGAACACATGCAAAGTGACCATCTAATGCAGTTTATTGCTTCATTCAGCGCCTGTTAGGCTCTATGGGGGTCATATGTAAAACATGTTTCTTTGGCAAAGAATTAGTGTTGTTCTTATGGCAAAAATTTAAATAACTAAACAGTGAAAACGTGGTTTCCAGAAGATTAAAACAAACAAACAAATGAACTCTTTAATCTTGGCCAGACTTCCCCAGTTATCTCTGAATGCAAACCAATAGTTGGGATTATAATGGAGTCTAACCCAACAACCCCTACAGTAACTGATATTTGAACTGTTGTTGGAAATAGAGATGCTGTTTTACTTAGCGAGCACAACTGTGGCTGTCTTCTGACTAAGTTGAATATCCATCCATCCATCCATCCATCCTCTCCTGTTTATCCAATTCAGGGTTGTCAGGGCCAGCTGCCATAGGTCGAGAGGCAGGGCACACCCAGGACAGGTTGCCAGTCTGACTAAGCTGCTTATGACACAAAATATAACAAGATCTAATGAGTTTATAGAGAACATCCAACTGAAAATCAGTTGTATATACCTCAGGCCTGTAGTTGTGTCTATCCATCTTGACTGCGTTAGTAATGAATTAATTACAGAGTTTGGTGATATCAGCTGTTGAAACGACCACTCTGCTTGAATTTAACACAACTAAATGGCACTTATCTCGTAAGACATAAGGTCCCAGAAATATATTTCTCAGATGTCCACTTTCAGGAATTATTTCCTGAGTATTAAAAAGAGTTCATGTGGGAATGCCAGGATGTTCAAGTTAGTGGCTGAGCTTCACGTTTCTTTTGATGATCAGATTTAATTCCATACAAAGAAAATAGTTTTTAAATGTGATTTGTGGTTTTAGTCCTTTAAGCATAATGAGACAACTGACATTTAATTTTATTATATAAAAGAGAAGGCAGACATGCCTGGAGCTGGAAATGAAGAAAAGGCACTACAGGCCACAGGAAAACTAGCAGAGATGTTTTGTTCTGGGGGACAGGGGTGTGTAAAAGGCAACAAATTTGCCAAAACAGGCAACATTAAAACTACTGTCATCGTTTAAATACTGCCATTGATGGCGTAGCTGTGTTAAATTTGGTATTCCTGTTATTTTTTTCTATCCCCGTCCATGTGGATTACAACCCATCTGTATTCAAATCATGATGGTTATGAATCAGTCTTTTTTGGCTGCTTCGTAAAACTACTGAAATAACTTTAGTAGTACAGAACGATGCCTTACTGCACGGCAGTGCGTTCAGTTTGCCTTCTTTTATAACAAGTTCAAAGCACATAGTTTACAGCGGCCTTGTACACAGAGCTGTTCACCGGCTCAGCGCTGTCTGTGGAAGCTGGAAACCTCAGGGAGTCTGTTTCACGGGTTTTTGAGGATTTTTTTTTTCAGCCAGACAAATATTTTCCAGTTCATCTTCAGAAATAGGCGACATGCAGTGCATTCCACTTAAAACTGGAATTTCTTAGTTCTTAGCTGGAATTTTCCGGTGGAATGCTCCTACTCATCAGTTTCATTATCTCACTATAAGCCTCAAGTAGCCAACACTTTAACAAACTGTCCAAGCACTACATAAACAGTGTGTTTCCTTAAGCCTTACTGCTTTACAAAGGGATTTCATGTTCTTTATGTGTCAGTAATTTATAGTACATTTACTCCTGCATATTTGCACCTAGACGACAATACCAGTGTGAAAAGTACCTCAGGGAGGAGGGTGTGTTCTTTAAAGTTGTACTTTGGACCTAAAACTGTGTGTGACGTGGGTGTGTGTGGCGTGGGTGGGTGAATACGCCAGAATAAACAACAATGCTGTATGTTTGTGGTCATACTTTAGTTACTTTACTTGCCCTCAATAAAAAGGTGTTTTATAAAAATCTTTGCGTTTGCATTCTTTATTTAATAATCCTGTAACGGCCACGATGCAGATTTAATCAAAGCGCTTCACAATCACACAATCAGACCAGAAAGACACCAGATTCAAATGAGGTTTGGGAAACATTTCATTTCATTAGCAGTCAATCTTTGTTCTATTTTTTTTTCTTTTGATATATAATTGGCATCATTATTAATACTTAAAGAAAACAATTTCATGGATTTGAGATAAAAAGATGCTATTATCAAAATAAAGCAGGAAAATTAGTTTTGTTTTTCCTCTGTTAAAGTTTGAGGGACCATCATTCATGGCTTGGCTTCATTTATGGCTTTGGCTGGATTTGTTCAATTGGTAGCTGGAGTTGGGTTGGATATCTCAGACGCCTCAGGTCTTCCTCCACCTGAAACGCAGAAAACACAAAATCAAAGACTGTAAAAGCAGTTGTTCATACCTTTTGCAGGTTTCTGAAAACAATTTATCAGAGCTTTTATTTTTATATTTCCTTTAATAATAAAAAAAAAAAACCAAAAAAAGTCCCTGCAAAATTGGTTAAAAAAAAAAAACAAACACATTCAGTAACAAAGATTCTGACTATTTAGTCATTTATTGTAAAACAAAACAGTCAGCCAACCTGGGCCAGCTTGTCTTTGAGTTCATTGTATTTTTCCACGTTGAATCTCTTTTTCCTGGCCCCCTTATAAAAATAACGCAGGAACTGCCTGTCCTGGGCGTCTGGGTATACATAATCCTGTAGGAGAGAACAAAGTAGAGTAATTATTTAAAAATATATCTGCACACATGACTATTTTACACAAATGAGCTTTAGGTGTAACTAAAATTTGTTTTGTTGTAACACTTTAGATTTTTTTTAACATCTAAAGTGTAAGATCAGCCTTCTAAAGGAGGTTATTATCATTTCTTGGGTCTAGAGAGTTAGGCTAGATTTTATGGTTTTTTCCAGACTATTAACTGGGCAGAGAAAATTGATGTATTTCCCAAAATGTGATCTTGAAATGATCAGAATATTTAAAAGGAAAAGCATTTTGAAAGTCAGTGAAAGTTCTGGTACGTGACTTGCTGAGTAATAGGTTCTAACTGCTAGTTGTCAGTTACTCTGATAAGAAGTCAAGTTGAGCCATATTTATTTACACTACAAACAGCCTTCACCCCTTCAGAGCAACACAGGACATCTTTATTGTAGCTTCCATGTTGTTTTCACAGTCCACAATATATCGCACGCCCAAGTCTGAAGGAACAACTTGTGAAATGGCCTGAGGAGCACCTGTCATCTACACCTAGAGGAAAACGATGAAGTCGGTCAGGTGTCTCTGAGTCTTACCTGTTTGGTGAGGATATAGTAGGCGAAAGCTGCCATGCTGGTCGAGTAGGTGATGAAATACGTGACGGGCTCCATGACGTCCCACGAATAGACCCACCAGGTGAGCCAGGCCAGGGCGCCGCCCTGCACGGACAGCAGCGCCAGGCCAACATACAGAGCCCTGGATGTCTGGAAGTCTGCTTTACCGGACAGGTCTGCCTTCATCTTTCACCAATAAAATGCAGAGAAAAATGGGTTACCAAGTCTTTAAGGCTGAAATGTCATCATTACCTTTAAATGAAGCTTTCAAGCAAGTATAACAAGGTACAAAGTAATTTCATGGGTGAGTGGTTGTTGCAACACATCGAGTACCTTCTCCAGAGGAGAAAGCTCCTGTTTGAGGTTGTCCAGTTTCTCCAGGAGCTCCCTCTCCTTCAGCAGCTGGTGTTCGGGCTGGTGGAGCGCCGTGTGCAGCAGGTGCACGACATGTTTCATGTCCTCCAGCTCCATAGCGTGCTCAGCAGATGCACACACTGCAACGGAGGCGCAACAGGGCAGACAACGAGGAGAAAGTAAAAGTGAAATATGAGAAGAATAGAAGATAATAACCACATTTTATCACCAGGATCAAGTGTAATTGGAAAACTGCCAAATGGAGAATTTATGAATGGAGATAAATGTACCCCTTTCAGGAGCGCAGATATTATAAACTGCATTGTTGATGACAAGCTGAAAGTCCTTGTCCAGCAGGGCATCGATCAGCGTGCTGTTGGCAATGCGCTCCCCATCTGTCAAAGCAAACGCTGAACTGAATTAACTTTATCTTTTATACCGTGAAAAAACAGGTTTGCTGGCAGAGGGACCAAACAAATTCAATAGAACATGAAAGCAACAAAAAGTTTATCAAATAAACCCCACAGTGATGGACAAAGTCAGTAATTTACACCTTAAAGAATGTAGTTCAGCACTGCATAACTACAGGTCATGTATGGGAACGAGAGCTGTGTGGAAAAAAGCTCATCTGCTAATCTCTGCTGCTCTGGTCTAACATGTCCCGTCTTCTAAAGTGATAAAAATCTTTGCCACAACCTGCCTCACCTGTCCCCTTCATGGAAAAATACACTTTTCACAAGTTACCCTTAAGGTAACTTAAGGAGGACTGCATCAGATACCCTTCCTAACCGCTCTGGTTCCCATACCAACTCAGATGTGAGTGGCTACAAAATGATTAGAAGTTTGAAAAGGAAGCGTGGAGTACTGTTACAGAAAATTGCCCTATTTTTCTCCACTGTGTCAAAACATGGCACGCTCAAGGCAACACATAACTTTGGTGAGAGACACAGGTGTGTGAAGATCGTGTAGACCAGTGTAACCTTGTGCCACTCCCTCCTGCTCACTGAGGAGCCACAGAGGTTTGCAAGACTATCTGCATGTAAAATACCCTGCAGTATTCCCCAAAATTGCACGGTATATGAATTTCTTTTAAAAGCAATGATCTGTGCTACAAGATCATAAAACAGACACCGCCCTGTTTTAAAGGGCAGGGAACCGTGACCTATTGTACTACAAACAGCCACAGTTACTCACAGTGGAAGGTGATTAACTGATAACTGCTCAGTGTAAATGTGAAAATGAGTAAATGATTATTGTGGAGGCATCTTGCTTGACTGGCTATCGTTCATCCTTTTTGTGCGCAACCCGGCGAACCAGACCGACTGCACCTGTTGCATACTGAGCATGTCTTACCTTTAGAGAGAACTGAGGCGGTAGCTCCTGGGTCCTCTTTCTGCAGCTCGCCGATCAAGTCGCCCACGCTCATCAACATGGGCCTTAAAAAAAACAGACACTTCTCATTCCTGGATGGCAAGGGGACTTCCAGAACCAAACGCCCATGTTTGTACTTCAAAGATGCAGCTGCTGCACAGTGAAGGGGGTGGGGGTGGGGTATGGACAGTTTAAGTGTTAAGCTTTGCATTTATTATTCCAATTATGTGCACAGATAAGGCCAGTCTAACCACCCACAAGTAAAGTCACAAACCAGGTGCACACGTGTGACATAAAAGTTCAATATTATGTGGATGTAATAACATCAAATTACCACTAGAGGGAGCATTTGTAGCGTAGAAAAGAGCTGGATAACTTCCAAGTGAAGGCCTTCTGTGCTGAACCTGTAAAGAAGGATATGAAGGGAGAATGAATGAAAGGAAAGAAATGACTCAGTTTTTTTCTTTGTGTTCTCACGTACACACAGACACACACACAGACACACAAACCCCGCCCTTGGCAAACTGTCATGTCAGCAGATGTTGGAGAGTAAACAGATCCACGGAATACTAAAAGGAAGCATCCGAACAACCAAAAAGAAGCACTTGGAAACCTTCTGCCACAAGCCAGTTCACAGTGGTGCTTAATTACACCGTGGCTTCCTAATATGCTTTTATGTCACAAGGAACAAACTGATGCATGACTTTAATTCTTTTTGTGACAATGGTATTAAATGCTTAAATGAAAAACAAGTGCATTTGTAAATATGAGACGTACTGTCACACAGTGAGACCTCAGGTTTCTCCCAGACTCCTGAGTATGGAGAACACATCCACTGAGAAGCTCATTATTCTAATCAGCAGGAGTACTTCTTTGTCCTACGCTTGGCATTCACTGGGCGTAGTCCTTCTGCCGTCTTTTTAATGCATGCTTGTATGCCTACACAGTGCAGGTATTTAAGTTGCAAGCATAATTTAACACACTAAATACTAAAGCGCACTAAATCTGACCACAATCTGCACACTCAGAAAGTCAGAAGGGTTCCCGCTTGGATACATCTTCATCCCACTAATGCCCAGTGATGCTGCAGACACTCTCCCATCCCTTGGCCTTCAAGCTGGGAGTTTGGTCAATCAATATTACATTAAAGAAGAACAAGGGAGCTGTCCGTTTTCATGAGAGGAAGGGGGCAGGCAAGTCTCCTATCACAGGAACATAGACACGAAGAGACCAGATGTGCCGTTTCTCACGCAGCTTTGGAGTGAGCGCTTTAAGAGGGAAAACGTTGTAAACGAGCAATAAGTAACACGCACTTTAAGCTGAAGCTTAGCCTAAAACTTTTAGTACCGCAGTGGTTCAAGCAAACTGTGAAAGTGCTTTAAAAAGTTACTGACAATTACCTAAAACCTCAGGATACAAGGGCTTGTGTATCGGTTATGTATCACACAATGAAGAAAAATGTGGACAGCAAGAGTGAAGCAAATTGGTCCCATGAGTCAAATTCGAGTTGCTCCAGATAGAGATAGAGAGCAATTAAAGGCTGCCCACACTTGCGGTGAAACCAATATGAAGGTGCCTTCTGTCTGATAGCACACACTGAAAAATGTCTAAAAGCTGCAGTGCACTGGGTAAGGCAACCTGAATAAGCTGTAGTGTCAAAGTCTCAGCTTTCTTATCAGGACTGTAAAAGACGTCGAATTAGTAGAATGAACAGGAACATCGTGAGATCCTGACACTCCCTCACTATAATTTGCCCGTAACAAGTTAAATATCCATTTACAGCACGCCTTCCCTCCATCCCTTATAGAGACCATCTACAACATATCCACTACCCCTCCTCTGCACACGTCCGAACCACCTCATCCTTGCCTCTCTTACTGTGTCTCCACCCTGCACAACCTGACTTTCATTCCTCCTCTCTCCATCGTATACTTGCTCCCTACTCTCACTACAGATCATAATGTTGGCTGTGAAAATCATAGTCCACAGAGACTCCTGTCTGACCTTACCTGTAAACCTGTCCTTCACCAATGCAGACAAGGAGTCCCACCCCTGCTGCACACCTCAGCACTGTCTCACTGTCCTCATAAATGTCACGCACGACCCTTTCTGCCACTCTTGACTTTCCTCAGACAATACCACACTTATTTAGCCTTTAAATGTTCAAATATACAACATTTGAGAGGCTAAAAACATACTTTTGCTTCCCTGCTAACAACTCGCCCAGAAAACACTGCGGGTAGACCCACACAGCATGCTGTAGGGCAGTCCACATTAAACCACAGGTAACCATTTGGGCCTGTATGGGTATGTCCACATTAAGGCCATAACCTACAGTGAGGGACAGAGCTTTGTTTTAAGGGCTCACAAGCGAAAATAGATCGACAACAAGTGGCCCAACACACCCAGAGAGATTTAATATTGATAAGTGCTTTGTGTGCTGTTTTCAGGCGCTGCCAAATTTGACTTTTCACCCAGTCACATTAATCCCGGAAAACATAACCACGTTATCCAAAGTGGTCAGAAATAATCTAGTTATTCTGTCACTACAGAGTTAACCTGTGACACCAAACACCTTCCCAGCATATTTAACAACAGACTAGGAAAACCTTTTACTTGCCACCTCTGCTCCAACAGTCATTGTGCTTCATTAAACTGAGAGTTGCAGGCATTCACTGCCAACACACACGATAGGTGCTTGAAATAAAATGCATTCAACACTAGACTCGCATTAGCAAACAGTTCAGGCCAGAAGCGGTTTAACGGCTGGTGTGAGCGCAGCGAAGGTTTTTGCTCTCTTTGCGCATCGGTGATCTGCTAATGTGAAAACAGCAGAGCTGAAGTTAAGCATTAAGGACGAGGACTTTGATGTCTGTGTGTGTGTGTGGTGTGTTGTGTGTGTGTGTGTGTGTGTGTGTGTGTGTGTGTGTGTGTGTGTGTGTGTACTGGTGTGTGTGTGTGTGTGTGTGTGTGTGTGTGAGAGAGATCACTGACCGGAGACAATTCAACAGCTGAGTGCCTACAGGCATTTTATATTCTGTGTACACACGTTACCAATCCCATTTTTAAATCAACACAACGTGGCTACCATGGCAGATAATACAGCTTCAGGGCTGTGTGATGAATAATAGTCCACTTCCAAAGCCATGCTCTCAGCCCTCTGTTATTATAGGCTCTAACACACTGCATGATAAATACTGACCTTCGTTTGTCTCTTACCTTCCTGTGGCAGCTACAAAGAAAAAAACCCCCATTAAAGAACAATTTGGGAATGCTAGCAAACCGATCAACATTTACAGGGTGACAGATGACCTCCAAAGTAGATTGTAGGGTTTGAAACTGAAAACTGAGGCCCAAATCAAATGTTTTTATTTGCATTTTCAATTTTCACCTTGAAATAGGCAGTGTTTGAACATGAATATCTCAAAAACTATTACAATCAAAAGCCTGAAATAACACATGGCCTTTCTTACCATAAAGAAAATGGATCAGAGCTGTAACTGGGACGGAGTGCCTGTTAGTGTCATTCTAATTTAACCTGAGTTTTCCAGCTCTTCCAGGACATTGTGCATGCCTACAAGGATTGTCTGGGAAATGAAAAACATGCACATATGTAATACAATTACTTCTTAATTATAATTACAGTTCTATCTGGAAACTTTTCTCTTTGGGTTAGACTATCTACTGATATTCTGTTTCTGTGGAACAACTTGACATATTTGCTCAATCTAGCATGAAAGCTGAATGAAGATTTTCTTTATTTTTGTATATAAAATTTAATTAATAAAATATAATTTTGCATTAGTGTTCAGTTGCAGGTCCTGGTTCATGTTTATGCTATCTTTAACAGTTTTTGAGACATTTATGTTCAAACATATTATTATTATTATATATATCCAAATATCTCTGGACCGTAAAGTTGTTAAGTAAATTGTAAGCGGCTGAGCAGAAGGTCCCATGATGATTTGTAGCTGTCAGGGGATCAGTGACTGGTCTCTATGGCTGTGTGACTGAGGCTTTAGCAATCAATTTCACAGTGGCTGCTCACAAATTCCGGCAAACACTCGCCAACCAATCAACAAATACACATTTCTCAGTTCCACTGACCCAAATTAATGGAGTTTAAAATTGGCAAACAGTTATCAGCTACAGCTGCCTGTGCTGGCATCCACCTCCCAATCAGCATGCTTATTTCTCCTGCACAGTTTGACATGTTAACATGGTGGCATATGAGGATTGAAACTTCCACTTTGGCTTCATTTTCACTGAGCTCAAGTTTTACTTGAGCTACTCTAGTGCAAACAGCCGGACCCGCCCATAGCTTATGCAGCACACATACATGACTGGTTATCCCATCCTGCAAGTTGAAGACTGTAGTGCCTGAACAAGCCCACACATGACAAACACATGAGTAACAGCTAACCGAATGCCTCTCATGGCACAAAACACGCCTGACTCGGAGAAACGATTGGGCTCTCTGCTTTGGCAGAAATTGCCATTGCCTAAATTTGTCTTCTTATCAAAACAAAACACACTTCCATGATACGCAGCGCATCAATATTCAGAGCGCAGAGTGGTCGTTGTCTATCTATTGTCCTTCACACATTCCTGGAGCTGCAGGGAACATCACTGCACATCTGCCCCTCATCACCGAATCGTTTCATCCAACTGTTCTTTCACAGAACAATCAGCTGAAGGTGTATTTACGCCGTGAGCTAAGCATTTTTTATTTATGTCACGCAAACAGGGAAGGAGGAGAGAGAAGCCGGGCGGTGAAAACTTGGGAATATGGTGACAATCTGCCAGCCTCTCTCCTTCCTCACGCAGAGGCTGTGGCTTGCTGCTCCAGTAATGATCGGCGTCTATCGCCAGCCTCATTTTCCCTGCAGTCTTCCATCAGTTCCCTCCATTATCAATCCTGTCACAACTGAGCTATGGCCTCCTAAAGGAATCGGCTCCCACTCTGGCCACAGATTTGATATTGCCAAGCAAAGGGGAAAGAGATTTTTGCAGTCGCATAAGGAATCATAAGAGAATAACTTACAGTGTCTACCCAGCATGACCCGAGGCATAAAGAAAAATGTGCGAGCGTGATAAACTACGGCTGCCAGGAGGAGAAATTGAATTACTCTGTGTTGCCATTATGATTGAGAACAGCCAGCACTCTGGCATGAAAACGATTTGCATTGAACCATTTATCTTCTCCTACTCAGTTAATGATCCGGATCGCTTAAGAGAACAAAGAGAAGGTGGGAAGCGGGAAGAAGATGACTGCGGGGTTGGTGTGCTGTACGAACACGAGGCTGAGGTTGTGTTTCATGCAAATACAATGAATAAGACGTTTTGTAACACTATTAGACAAATAGCAGCACACACACAAAACCAATTTCTCCAAATCAAAAATGGCTTCTGGAAATACAAAGTGAGCTTTAAAAGGAAGGCGCAACAAGCAGAGCGTTCCCATCTGCGACCACTGTACAACTGCACTAAAAAGGGCGGAGCACGTACTCACATTTAGCCCATTTCATCTTACAGTTAGTCATCTCTCAGTCCAAACGTCCACATTTATAAGCAACTCATCATTCCCTAAGCTTATCTCAGCAAAGAGTGGTACAACTTTCAACCCTGAATGCCACAGAGAAGGAGCTGAATACTGAAAAACATGGAGGAGGAGGAAAAAACAGGAGGGCAGAAATTAAGGAATTCATGTGGTGTTCGCAAAGGTCCAGAACAGACGGATCTAAAAAAGTTGATTAAAAAGGAGCAGAAAAACAAACGCAAAGCCGATACAAAAAAACCCTCTGAGTGATTCACATTAACACTTTAGTGACACATGGCTTAGCAATGCTTCATCACAAGGTCACAACAGGACAAGAACAGCCCATGTAGATGAGTATCAGCTATAATGAGTTTACTTATTAAACCCTCAGTGAGAAAAATGCCCTCATTTACACGAGGATTGAAGAGGAGTTTACTTGTGACTATAAACACCAGAGCAACTTTCACTACTTATCACACACAGTGCAGTGCTCTGATGGGCTGTTATCACAAGACCATAACAATGCAGGGTCAACACCGTCACACCCACTGTGCACATGCTTCTGTAAAGACAGCGGCACCATTACCATGGTATTAAGCGAGCTACTGGAATGTTCCTTTGACTGGATGTGCTTTAAATCTGTTCTAAGTTGATCAGCGACTGTTGTGGCACAGATTAGGAATAATATGGTTTTTTCGCTTTATGTGTATTAATGCTATTGTAAAAATATTGATTGAACTGAGAACTATTATTATCTAATTTTAGATACGCCTGTAGATGTGGTCAAGCTGAGCTGCTGAAGTTCAAACCCAGAATCAGAACAGAGAAGAAAGGTGGTTTAAGTGACTTTGAACGTGGCATTGTTGTTGGTGCCAGACGGGCTGGTCTGAGTAGTTCTGAAAATGCTGATGAGCCATCTCTAATGTTTACAGAGAATAGTCTGAAAGAGTAAATATACAGTGAGCTGCAGTTCTCTGAGAGAAAAAGCCCTGCTGATGGCCAGAGTGCCGATTACTGACAGGAAGGCAACAGTAACTCAAATAACCACTCGTTACAACAATGGTATGCAGAAGAGCATCTCTGAATTAATACAACGTGGAACCTTGAAGCAGATGAGCTGCTGCAGCAGAAGACCATGCCGAGTGCAACTCATGCCGGCTAAGAACAGGAAACTGGCTGCACTTTGAGGCTACGGCCTTCCTGCGTATTGTTGCTGACCATGTGCACACCTTTATGACTGCAGTCAATTTGATTTATTTAAAACATTTGATTATATGTAAAGTCAATGTGTTTACTATATAAACATAAAAAACTATGTAGGTCTACAGGCAACAAAAAGTACAAAATGTTACAAAGAATTCCCCCAACCATAAAACTACAGCCTGCATCGATGCCAGTGGCCCATCTACTTAATAAATTCTATGTTGTTCTATGTGCAATCCACCAGTTGCTGATGGGCGAGCCAACATAAGACAGAGGAAGGGCATTAGTGTAATGGCAAATGTGTTATTTTTGTACATTTGTGAGTTTTTTTTACTTAACAGAAAAGTGTCAAAGTGTCAAAGTGACACTGACAACGACTCTCTCTTTTCATGTTTGACGTAACACAGTTTAGGAAGCTTTTATGGTAACAACATGTTTACTGTTTCACTCCACACACGAATTACGCAAAGAGAGGCGTGTCCGTAAAGACAAATTACATGAAAATTACACGTTTTTGTTTTTTTTGCTTCATTTATCTAGGGCCTGTTGTCATTCATTATCTGATCATTTTCCAATTCAAACTTTTCTATTAGCTCAACTTCTTTACTCCTCTCAGGTCACCCTGCCCCACCTTTTCAAGCTGAAGAAGTGCTGTTGCATAACCTCTGATGACACCTTGCATAAACATGTAATTTTTCCCCTCTTAAGAAGTAAACTTAGGAAACTTGCTGTGTGACATCACATCATGAAAACGAGTTCTAAAGCTCGCTGCACTCTCACCAAACCACAGTACTGTTCTTTCTACACATTATTGTATTGAGCAACGGCTTCCTCTTTAAGCAACGCTGGACCACAGATGACGAGATCAGTTCTTGATATCTGCTGAGCCTTCTTACAATTAACAGTCACTTTATTTGTTGCCCTAATGAATACAAGTATCTGCACCTGGCATGGCCACACTTGGTTGTCAGGCTTCTTCAAATTAGATTTTACAGTGTTTGCCTGCCCAGTGCCAAGACAATAAAAAAAATGAGCAAATAGTTATGCCTAATTTATCCTACCCCGGTTGTGTCCTTTACTAAATTCCCAACTGCATGATGCTCAGAATGGATGACACTGTGCATCTGCCAAATGCTGATTGGTCAACTAGTCGGCCAGAGCAGCGGCAGACTTCACCGGGAACGGGAGAACATTTTTTAGAAGTAGGCTGCAAACAAACTCACTTGCAGATGACTTTATCATGTGTCCTGCCATTGCACCTCAAGGGCTGTTCAAACAGACCCGTATTATAAATGCTCCCAAAAGCCTGACGTCTCATTTTAGCATTCCACACATATTCAATACACTAAACTAATGCTTTTGCGTTTTTTCATCCTGCTTAGCCCCATTGATTCAGCACTTTTGTGGACGCACAGAAACAACGCTGATATCGATTCTCTCATCTGAATGTGTGAAACTGCAAACAACTAACAGCGAGCAGCACTTGAGTTTCCTGCAGGCCAGTCGGGTTTCTCTCAGCCTCCTGAGAATTAAAACATCCTTGTGTTATATGTTTACCTGTATAGCATTACAGCAGTGACGGAGAAGCCCTAACTCCCTGTCACGTCTCTGGTGAAACTTTTGCAAAAAGATCATATTGAATGTTTTGTCTCTAGTGGAATCTCAACAGGGAAAGGCTTGTGTTACAAATTCATAAAAGACGTGGCCTGAATATGAATATCGCCCTATAGATACCCAAAAGAGATCATATCTGAATTCTGAGCAACTTAGGCCAAAGGCTGCTCACAGTGCTTAGTAGCTGTACGTACTCTTACACGGTGGTTTTGAACTGAGGATTTCTGTGAACCTAGCTTTCTGCTGTCTCATGTACAATCTTCAGAGTGACCTCTGCCTCCTGCACTCAATCAAGTCCTCTGATACACTGCATTGGAAGGAATCTGATTAAAAATTGGCAACTCGCTGTGTGGATTCTAAAAGCCAGATCTGTACATTTGCATGCAGCCATGCTCTCTGCTTTTCTAAGTGCATTACATTCCTATTAAAAACATTCTGTGGCCCAGCTGCTCCTTTACAAAAGACACTTTCACTCTGAATGGCCCGTTTTTGGGAGGTAATGTAATTTAGATTCTCTGAGGTTGATACGTTTCTGGCTGGGGAAAGAAAATTACAAAAAGCAGAGAAACGGAACATTTTATAGTCTAACTGAAATCTATCTATCGCTCAATATAGGCCGGTCTACAGAATGAGGAGGTTAAAGACCACAAAACCTTTGTGGCAGAGCATTCCCAGTCTTTATTGTTTCACTTCCTGTCTTCTAAACTGCCAAATAAAGTGGAAAGAAATTCTGAAAACGACTTTATAAAACACACTAACTCTGTTCTTTTTGCAGCCGATATGAATTGTATTCTTTTTGCTGAAACATGGGTTGCTGTAAGGATTTCGCTTGCTGAAGCTCCACTTTTATATACGGTCCAGTCTAAAAATAAAACTCATCTTAGTCATTCTGGCTTGTAGGAGTGAGTCACTGCATCCTGCCCCTCTGACAGCTTCCTTTTTTTTCCAATCCAACAAACTCTATCTCAGCATCCATCTATGGAGGCTCTGATTGCACCGAGCAAAACAGAAAAAAACAAAACAGTGTGCACTGTTCTCCCTGCACACTCACAGATTTGAGGCACCTTAATTGAGATCTGCCTGCCTGCAGCTGAGCTGACCAAAGCAATTTCATGCAGCGGGCGATAAAAGATGTGGGCTGAACTGGTGCCTTAATAAAACTGTGAGTAAAAGCTTCACTACAAAAAATAAATAAATAAATAAAATCTCAAGATGATGCTGTGATGGAGCGTGGGTTTTCACTTTCTGCAGCATTTCCCTGCTGCACTATTTCCTGACTGTGGGCTGGACACGTTTGTTGATGGGTGACGTATAGCTGCATGGTAGTGCAGCTATACGTCCAATACCAAGTAAATACAGAGCCAGTATTGCCAATACAGATACCAATACTTTTACTCTATCATGGCAGGTTTTGTATGGGTGAGCAGTGTCTCGTGACTTATGGGACGAATCATTGTCCATTTGCAAATTATGAACACATTTTAATGATCACTAAATCAATGTGATTTTTACTTTCCACAATAAATACCAAAACAGCTTTTCATATATTTTGAAACAGTTTTTAACAGCCTGAAATTTTAATCTACCTCTCCTTAAAGCACTTAATAAATCAATAAATCTGAAGCTAGTAGCACAGTATAGATCCTATCACTAGTATCGATCAGACACTTTTGTATCGATAGCCTCGATATTTGGATCGATCCTCCCAGATCTTCTGTACAGGCTCCACAGGCATAGAGACGACAGGAAAATGAAAAAAAGTTTTTGAGAAGCGCTCAAAATAGAGACAAAAACAGCGTCTTGTGCTTCAACAGGAAGCCACGGCACACTTTACACTGTGACGCCCACGAGGGACTCAGAGTACAGCGTTTATTTACCTGGTGTAGAAATGTAACCGGGCGAGCGGGTCTGAGACCGCAGCGTAGGGTCTGAACACTTCCCACGAGTCCCGTCGCAACTTTGCACACCGCCCGCACCGAAGCCATCGTCAGCCGGTAACCGTTTTTAGCCGCCTCGCTGGGGCATGCCGGGAGGAGAGAGGTCCAGGACGAGTACCTCAGAGCTCCGTGTTTCACTTTAAAACGGGCTGCTGTCTGTGCGTATAGCAACAGACAGGAGGATCGCTACGGGACCCGGAGGAGGAGGAGGAAGAGAGCAGGCTGAGCTGCATACCATTTCCTCCTGACTACACCCGCGCGCTCTCTGCCAGACTCCGCTTCCTTTGTCCCCCACCCCTCCTCTTTCTTTCTGTTGGGTCTGTTTTGCGTGAAACAGCAAGTGGGAAGCATATGCGCCTGCCAGGCTCACGGGACTGTAAGCCGACATCCCAAACATCACCCCCTCTCCTCTCACGAATCATCACGAGTTGGTCTGATCGCTAAAATAACAAATTTATATGAGGCTTATTAGGGCTGGAGCCGTTGTAACGTTACACTTTGAAGTCTTCATAACTTCAAAGGGTGAACTTGGCCAAGAGCTCCACTTTAAGCATGCCACCCACAAATCGATTTCCTCTGATCCCACATTTAAATAGGCCCTTAGAGATAAAGCGAACTTTCTAATCACGGCGTTACGTATGAGCAAGGACTGCATTTCAGCTGTCAGCCAACAGGGGGAGCACTTACAAATATGTGTCACTGACATAAAGGTCAATGATGCGCAATTCTTTGTTCTTTCAAATACAAAGATGGATAATGTCAGAAGTTTCAATCTATGGGGTCAGCATTTGTGTGCAAAATCCATGTAAGCCAAAGATTCAGGCCTCAGTCTGCTGAAGCATTTAAAGACAGCTCTTTAAATGTTTGGCTCTGTATGCGAGCTTCTTTCTGCCACTGTGGGGGGAAAAGCTATCTGTAAGTCAAAGTGTATGCTTATTATTTTATTAATTTACATGTAATAAGTCCAAAATGTTTACTTGTACAGAAATTAGAATCAACTAGTCAAAATGTTGCGACAATAACTTCAAATTGATTGCCCTGGGCAAACAATTTGAGTCTGTGTCTGTGAGTGTAGATATCCCTGATATGGACAGGGTTTGATATGGAACTATTAGGTATGATGTGATATGAACTTATGCAAAGAAGCTCCAGTAAAGTTAATAAATCAATAAAAATAATAGATTGAGTGTTGTGCAGAGAGGTATCCTGCTGTCCAGTGAGGTTGGGCTCATAGACCATAATCTACTGCAGTGCAAGCAGTAGGAAGCTGTGCACACAATGAAAAATGTTCACACTGCGTTCTGTGTATCATCCCCAGAGCGAAGTATGTGCTACGGCTGGTGTATTGTGTCACAGAAAATGCGAGCATAATGGTCTTGAAAGCAGACAGGTCAGATAAATCTGTCATGAACACTCCCATCCGGTGATTTATAATACTCCAGTCAGCCACAATATTAAAAGCACTGACAGGTGAAGCGGCAATGTAAAGTTTTTTTGAGAAACCTTGGGCCCTGGCATTCGTGGTGGATAATTCTGCAGCATTCCACCACAATGCGCGACTGTTTAGAGAACAGGTCCAGAGACCCTGAGGCGAAACACAATGGATGAAACAGCCTTCGAGCTCTCAGATCTGGAACAGGCCCCACCAACAGACACCTCACACTGCAGCCCACAGGAACTGGCAACATCCCAGTGCTACACACTTCAGCACAGCCCTGTAGGTCTCGCTTTCCATGCCTTGAAGAATCTGAACTTTTTTTCGGGGGTGGAATACACTAAGTTAGGGAAAAGCTGTAATAAATGCTGAAGGTAATGGAACATTACTGTCATTAATCACCACTGAGTTTAAAATATTTACCTCCACTGTGTATGCATTTCATTTTTCTAAAGTACCCCACACACTGGACCAAATGCCAGTCTGGAAAAATGCACTTATATTAGCCTGTTCATTAATATTTAAGTATACCATAGTTAAGGCAAACACTTGATCAGCACAGTGTGAGCTGTCTTTTTAACCTGCTGGCCTTGAAGCGTGACAACAGTGACTTTCTTTGAGCGCACACTTGAAAATTATGTTCTGCACATTGTGGCGTCTACTTCTCTACTAGATTTATGTGGCATTTTATCAAACAGTAACACAATGGACCCTCTTCTATACTAAGAGGGGGGGTGATTCCTAAAAGCCACTCTTCATTTGTCAGAAATTCTTTCTTCATGCAATCTGCTTTAGTCCACAGTGGTGAGTCTTTAAAGACTGGTGAGAGGCATCAATACTCCCAGAGAGAAGATGCATGACGGAAAGGCTAGATGAAATCGATATGCTCCTGTGGCCACTGAGGCTGTTTTACTGACAGATTACTTTGATTTAAATGTGCATTTGTCCAAGATTTTGCAGACAAACTGCAAGGAATTGTTGCCTTATTAGCACACACAGTGAAATTGAATGCTGTTTACGGTGAAGTTTTCTGCTTAGTTGTTGTTGTTCTTCTGGTCATCTGTTACCCGTCACCTGCTGCTAGATTTATGCTCTCGTTTTGGCCACACGCTGGTGGATTAAGACTGCAGCAGGGCTCTCTCGCTGAATGAAGTTATTCAGGGGAAATGAGCCAGGTTTCATTTTCTAATGAGTTGGCAAATGTGCTTCGGGCCGTTGAAAGAAGCTTCACTTTAATAACAAAATCTGCTTGCACAGAGAATTATGTAGTAGTTAATTATTTAATAGCGAGGTGATGCATGGAGTGATTCCATATCTGTGATGACAAAACGTTGAAAGTCCAAGTGATCACCGAGCGGGAATTAACACATTGTAATTTATGACTTTCATTTTATCTTCATTTAATGTTTGAATGCCCTTCTAAACTACGAGCTGTTGTCTCCTTAAAGCATTTTTCCACTATGAAGAATGATGAAAGAAGAGTGAAGATATTTTAACAGCAAGGCTATAAACTGGAGAGATTATATCTCTCGGCTGGCCTGGGAACGCCTTGGTGTTCCCCCAGACTAGCTGGAGGGGGTGGCTGGGGAGAGGGAGGTCTGGGCTTCTCTGCTTGGGCTGGTGCCCCCGCAACACGGCCCTGGATAGGTGGAATATCAGGACTGGTGTACTCCTCAGAAGGTTTGTATCTTATGGATACTTGGCACCATCTTGTGGGCGCTAAAAGGAACATAATTTCTGCAAAATGAGACTGTCTTTGTGACTGTAAGATAGTCTGTTGACATCACTTTCACACATTGTGTGCATTCTGAGCTTGTGACAGATTCAGAGTTTAAACAATGACTCCAAAACGAGTCCAAAATAAACAGTTGTGTCAGTTTAAGTATTTTAATATCTGTAAAAAATGTACAGGATGTGGATGGGGAGGCTTTTGCATACCTCTCTTTTATACTTTAGCTGAAGTGTGTGCATCACTCGTGTAATTCCTGCAACATTTGACATTTATGAAACGTGTGACTCCCCATAAACAGTGTGGCGGTGGTCTGATGATTTAGGAGCAAAGTGTGTGACAGTCAGTGCTCCTTTGTGTTTCTCGCTCTTGAAGTTTTTTTGCAGCTTTGCTGAGATCAAGTTTCCACCGAGGATTTTAAAGTGCTGTGCACTGCCCCCTTAACCTTTAGTGAAGCTGCAATTTAACACCAAGGAAATCGTTCTTAGCTTAGAGTAACTCCTATATTATATAACATACTATAAGAATAGTATGTTTCCCATCCTTACAGTCAGCACTGATATGGTGTGAAGCTTGTTTCTAAAAGATGAAGTGAATGTTTCCAAGCTGTTTTCTTAAAATGTTATTATCATTATTATTATTATTAGTAGTAGTAGTACACTTAATTATGTTATCATTATTATTATCAAGGTAGTCGTGTGAATATGACTATTTTCATCAGCTACCTAAAACATCTGTTCTGATGATCATTAAAAATAATGACTCAAAAGTAATATATCAACAACATATTCAACAATCTCTTGTACCAGATTATCAAAATAAGCTACAGTTGTCCTTTGACAACCGTTTCAAACATTAGCCCTCCAGTTACTAGAGCCTAAACTAGTATCTGGCAGTTTGTAGTCACATTACGTGACATTATGTGTTGTGCCTTTAAAACCTAAAATAAAAAGTTTGGTTTCCTGAATAAAAATAGTGGGGTCTTCTCTGAGCCTCCACTATTTTTTGGAAAGAGTCCTATGAATAAATGGAAAAAGCACTGAGCCATTTGTTAAACACAGCAGCTGAGTGGAGTTTTCAGCTCCAGCTGCTGTTAAAACTGAAGAACTACAGATGAAGCATCAGACAACGCACCATGTTCCCGGGTCTATGTGCTTTGGTCCGTTTGCTTTAACAACAACAAACGTGGATGTTCTTTGTGTGATTTACTAACAGTGAGCTAATCTATACAGATATACACTATATACTACACTATATACACTATATAGTGCTCTTTCTCTCTCCAAGAGACCAAGTTGCATACGTGAGTTTTTTTCATCTGTAGGCCGACTGTTTTGCCTCAGTCTGTGCTGCATGCAGAATTCCAACACAGCCTACATCCATAAGTTTAAAAATCATAATGACAGCTGAATTTAATTCAGTTGCATCAGTTTGTGGGTGCATCAAATCACTCTGCCAGCTGCTATTTCACAGCGTAAAGAAAATGCAAAGCCCCTGACGCCCTGTGACGAATACAGAAGAAGAAATTCATAATCACACTTGTTACCGCTGTATTGGCAGGAAAAACATTTTAATACAAAATCACAAAACAACACGAAAAGACGAACCTGGAACTCTAATAGACAACAAAGAAAACAGAAAAAAAATTACAGATTTTTGTTGGAAATGTGTATGGAAGAACTGGTTAAGCGAGTGGTAAAAAAATCAGTCGCAGTCATCAGTCAGGAAGAAGTTGTAGCCATCTACACGAGGCTTACCAACAAGCTCTGGGCTGAAATCGATGATCAATTTGATGAAATTCTTTTAATGAAAGCTATTAAGCATCAACGACCATGTCGGACTGATTCCGTAGACCAGAACCATTGGTGTTCAGTTGCCGAAAAGTGGCGTGTGTTTGAGCAAGAATACGACATATTCATAGCCGCTGCCCATTCCTATAAAGATGCCAGAACTAGAGCGTTCATCCTGGTAAACCTGGCCAGCTCTGAAGATATCGAGCGGGAGCGTGCCTTCGTGTACGCGGGGGAAGGGGAACACAGACGATTAATGACTGGAGCAAAATTGAGAGAAGACCCAGAATGTCTCAAACGCAAATTCC